TTATTTATATAGACACAAAAGGTGGGATATAAATGCATTGTAACTCAGGGTGTTTTGACAAGTTTTCTTCGCTCTGCACTGTCTCTCTATAGCGGCTTTGTTACTAGTTTTACATTTTTATTTTTCTCCCTTGTTACTCACCCCTCTGCTCTGGAAACTGATCTTTTGAAAGCTGCCGAGTGAGTCCAGAGGAGCGATCTTCCTCCTGCAGACATGAACAGAGAGAGCGAGAGGAGACAGACTTAAGTGCAAAAAAGACAAAAAAAACTCTATACAATGACTTTCTGCCACACATCACAAAAAAGACTTTAAACGGCAAATGTATTTGTTAAAAAACCAAAACATTTGATGTGTTTTAGGCCAATTTACCTCCCAGTTACAATAGTTTATATGACAAAAAACTGAATTTTAATCATATGTGATTATAAAACTTAGACTAAGACTAAGACTGTTTCCATCCTTACTTCTTCTCGTTGGCTTTACGGTGGGGTTGGCGGTGGTGTTGGAGAGAGAGGTGGTCCGTTGGTACAAGGAAAGTCTCTGAATGAGAGGGTCGACCATCCACATCCCTGACGGCCTCCCCTGCATCCCCCACAGAGAGGTCTCCCCCGTTTGTGCGGTCAGGCAGGTGAGAGAAGAGCTCCTGGTCCAGCCAGCCCAGGTCCTGCAGAAAACGACCACATTATCAATAAACAAATAGACGACAGGATTTCTTTGATTTGAGATGATGAGGTCTCTGTGTGCGCAAGCCTACCCTTCTGTTTCTGTCTCTGCTCGGCAGCACAGCAGCAGATATCACCTCCAGCAGCAGATAAAGAGCCAGGACGGGCAGTGTACACCTGGAGCAAAGCATCTGAGCAAAGTAAAAACAGTTTAAAGGCTCTGATTCAATGGACGGGAACAAAAACAGAAAAGAAATAATGTGTTTACCTTGAATCTTCTGATATTCTGTGGATTTCTGTCCTCAAAGATCCAGGTTTGCAGCTCTGCGTCTTCTGAGCTGTTGACCAGTTTGGAGGGTATTTGTAGGAATGCATCCAGGGTGGGTTTATATTATGGGACTGGCACCAAGGGCTGTTTAGGCTATGTGTGTTTGTGTGTGTAGGGGGGGGACCTCAGAAATGCCAATTACACCCTCCTCCTGGCGCTGTCATCGTTAGCGACTAACCTCTGAAGCAGCTCATAAGAGATTTGGAGAACTGACAACATGTCTTGACACACATACATACATTTGCACATACACACTGACCCACTCACACTCTCTTTCCCTGCAGCTGAATGAGGAGAGATGGGAGAACGATAAGGCCTTTGTTGAGTATGTTGCCGTTTTTGACAAAATACATCACCCTCAGGCTGGCTTCAGTAAGTTTACGTGAATCTGAACTTATACATGTCCTTCATCCCCTTGTTTGAGCTTCCAATGTAATTGATCTGTAATTAAATAAATACCCAATAAACTGCATAACTATAAATACCCAAAATAATGGCTATAAATCGACAGGTTTCAGAGTCCAAAGTGACTTTTTAAACGGCTTAACAACAACCATGAAAACATAAAAACGACTTCATATTTAACGGATAATATTAAATGAAGTCAAGTGACAGTCAAAATTAGATAAGATTCATTAATTAATTATTCACGCGTGTATTTCTTTCTGCACTAACTCAATGTGTTTGGGTCAGCACAGAGACAGAGAGATCAGAGATGGCATCAGGTCCAGGGAAGCCACACGTCCACTTTGATCTCTGGTAGGATGTGTGTGTGTGTGTGTGTGTGTGTGTGTGTGTGTGTGTGTGTGTGTGTGTGTGTGTGTGTGTGTGTGTGTGGCAATCTGGATGACTTGATCACCCTGCTTCGCTCGACTTCACCGGCAGTGAGCCACCCAATCCAGACCACACGCACGACTCCGTCCACCCCTCCTGTCTCCACAAAACCAAACAGACAGGAGACAGTGTAGCAAGGATGGATGGAGAGATTGGCAGAGGAATGGGGGGGACAGGGGGCCCGCTTGGGGCATATGCGCATTCAGACACGATTTCACTTTTCCTCTTTTCCCGCCCTGTCCTAATTATTTCTATTTCAGGACACTGAGGCTCACCAAACATAGAACCAGTGCTGATAGATCAGGCGTGTATAAATAAACCAAGGCAAGGCTGACAGCATGTTAACAGGGGCAGAGGCCAGATAGACCACGCTGATTAGCTCCATTATCAGGGACAGGCCTCATTAGGGGCCTCTGGCTGGGTGTGTGTTCTTTTGTTGCAACACTGGACCAAATGTCCTCATGCAGACATCAACGTGAGGAGAATCCGTCAGATTGAGGACATTTTAAAGGCCCCCCCGCTTCAGTGAGGAGTTGAAGTTAAAGGTTCGGGCTCAGTTTAAGGTTGAGATCAAAGTCAAGTATCTATAGGTTGAGTGGATGTCAGTGCTACTTGTGTTAGCACGTTAACTGGACTCAGATATGAATCACGTTTTCAAATATGTTCTTAATGTGTGAGAGGACGTATATTTGGTTTCTTGCTGAGATGTCTATGTAACATCTGTGTGTGTGTGTGTGTGTGTGTGTGTGTGTGTGTGTGTGTGCTCTGAAAGACTTCCCTCATACCCGCCCAAATCTTGACGCCCTATAAGTAATGTGCACAGCAGCAGGTGCCAAATATAGTCTGAGCAGAGACAAAAGCAATAACTCCTCCAATCCTGTGTCTCTGCTGCTCCCTTCATCTCTATCAGACATTTACTTACGTATAAATACTTAAAACATCGACACAGTTTTCCATTATGGTACATACTGTTTCTTCTAATCAATAACTACTGTTATTCTGCTGATGTTGCACTTCTGTCCTGACAGAGGGATCCCTCACATGTGGCTCTCTTGTTTATTCCCATGATAATAAGTTTTTCTGGTAGTTTTTCTTTAATCTCGTTGAGGAACAGAAAGGATGTCACACCCTGTAAGTACAAATAGTGATTTGTATATCTGGCCTATGCAAATAACATTTGATTGATGTGAGTGTTGATGGGATTTGTCAGATTGAGCTGGTCCAGAAATTCGATGACGCCATTTTTGTTCCTGTTGCTAAAGTAGTCCTTGTACTGCAGTCATAAACTTCTACCATCATATCTTCATATCATCCAACCAGTCTGTCAATCAGTCCCAAAGTAACAACAACGAATTCAAGATATGATCTGCTCCATGTTCAGCAGATCAGAGTCTTTTTCTAAAGCATTTTGATCATACTTTACACCTACTTCACTACAAATTGTACTTTTTATTTTAGTGTAAGTGTTGTACTCACTAGTTTTTCATACTTACAAATCAACATGTAAAATATAAAGTGCAACATGTTATATATAAATCAACACAGTCAATATTTGCATGTAAAATTGTTCCGTCTTCCCCAGCGGCAATATTAAAGTTGTGTAATTTATCAGTGATGGTATTTTAACAATATAATGTAATGAATCCGGGGGACATGCTGCAGCTTGATAATTAGAACTATGTTGTTTGATGAGTCAAACAAATTAGGGACAAGAGTCTAAAACACCATGAATATTGTGTATAACAGTTTTCACTATCAGTTATTAAAAGCTAACAGACTTAGCAACAGTTGCTAGTTCCAGTGCAACCAGAGCAACATTAGCATTTCTGATCATCTGAGAAACACAGGTCTGACATTTTCTTGTTCTTTCTTTCTTTCTTTTATCTCTATTTCTTCATACCTTCCTCTGCCTCTCTCTCTCTTTCTTCCTTTCCTTCAGTTTCAGTCGTCACCAGCTTGTGGGGAAAATATCTTGAGGTATTTAAGCTAGTTAGCAGCTAGCTGCTTGATTCTCTTTAATGGCAGAGGCTTTTAATCTCATTTGAATTTACTGTACCACGTTTATTGTGGTTTAGTTTGTTTAAAATGTACAAAAAACAGCGAGCAAGCAAATTCAGTCTTTAGTTTGGCTCGTACACATGCACGATGACTAAATATATCTTTCACTCGTAGTTTATAAAATCCTCTGTCGATTGCATGAGGCCCATTTATCTTTTATTTTGTTGTATGTGCATGTACAGTGTGTGTTGCATGGGGCTGCACGCTGGCTGCACACGGTTTGATTCTGGGGATCGGACGCTCTCTGGTGGTTGTCAACAACAACAACATGTTACGCAACAGGCCGACTCCTCCTTGTTGCTGCATGCACTGATAATACTATCTGCAGGGGGACAGTCCTCTCATGGACACGTAGAGCCCTCTTATTAAATAAAACCCATCTGCTTCTCGATGCATGTGCTTCTCCTCTCACAGTCAGATTAGCATGGTTTATAGACGCACACTGAAACCCTGCTGCAAGTCGTGGGAGGCTGAAAAGGAGGGGGGGAGGAGACATAGAGAAAATGCATGGGAGGGAGGAGAGACAGCAAACCAGAGAAACGAGGAACAGGTCAGGAAGGATACGATTGACTCTCGGCTCTGTGGATCCAGGGATTCAGTTTTAGTTTCTTTGTTTTACTTGGGCACTTGTCTTGGTGGCTCGGTGAGGACATCACACCGCAGAGGTGAGATTTCAAAGTCACTCGCAAAGAAATATAGCACTAAGTGCTTTTTATTCAAGATGCAGTGAGTGTGAATAAGGTAGAGGGGGAGATGAGGTAGGATTGTCTTTTTGATGGATTTAAATGCATCTATTTGGTCTTTATCAGACTCCAGGACATCATTTACATATTTCACATGGAAGCAGAAATAAAAACATGTAGATCAACACAGGATGTGAGTTTTTGGAGACCACCCCCTCCCCCAGATTCTCCTGAAACATGACGCACCCACTTTTTTCCCATATATGTTCAGCTCTCAAACCTTCAGCTTCAGAGTCGTTAGTTTTTCCCTGTATCACATGATATTTTCTTGTCAAAGTGCACAGACTGGGTTGTAAACATCAATCATTAAAGCCATTGTGGTGTGTTTGATGTTTTTAAATGGTTGTGTTGGACTCTTTGTCACTCTTTCTTTGCAACACCCCCTGCTCTCCTTCCTTAATTTTTTTATATCACAACCCAACCCTTCCTTTCCCTTTCCATTCCAACAGTTTCCCATAGAGGCCCCCTGGGAGTGGACGAGAAAGCGCTCCGAGGTCATTGCCATGTCTGCTCCTGGTAAGTGCACTGACCTTAAAAGAAGCAACAATGCCTTAAGAATAGTGTGTCTAAAACTTTCTTACTCATCCACTTCTTCCATTGTGTCATGTTATTGACACAATGTGAGCTATTGTAAAAGGCCCACACTTCTCCAGTTTCCATCGGTGTTTCCCAGGACTAATTTTTCCTCAGAATGTCGCTGCATGTTGAATGAACGCCTTGTCTTGCTCCCAAATTCCTCCACCGGCCTTGAGTAATTTTATCCTCCACACGTTGGTGAATTTTTAGAAGAAATACCTGAAATACTTGAAGTACTTCCATTCTCTACATGGAAAAAAACAGATGTGTGAGGTGAGAGTTGTCGTCGAGTGGGCATGTCAGGGGGCGGCCTTCCTGTAAACAACATGGTTTTGATTTCATTTGGCTTTGTTACCTTGCAAGTTTGAGAGAGGAATGTGGTTAGAGGTTGAGCAAAGGGGAAGCAGGGTTCACACAAGCAACTGTTTCTTTGTTTTTTACTTTCAGTTCTTCTTAGAAAGACAGAAGTAGTGGGAGGGTTTAGTTGCCCTCATACATAAAGTTCACGACATTTCTTTCGCATTACTTCAGCCTTGAAATGGCACCACTGCTTACTCACAACCCTGGAAGAATCTCACTATGAAGTAATCCTACGACCTCTATGCTGTGCTGTTTCAGGCTGTTGTTGTCCTGCCAAGAAAACAAAAACCAGTTTTTTGTGCTGTGAGTCAGCACCGCTGCACCACACACGTCTGTTTGTACTCAACACCAATGAAACCAGGTTTTCCATCATAGACAAAGTGAAGGAATGCTGGTAAACTCAATGAGCAACAAAGGAGGATATCAGAGAACTCACCCACAGAAAACTGTCGACATCCTCCCCACCGACAGCATCATTCAAACCGCTGGTTGTTGAGAAGATTAAGACTTCTCTTATTAATTATTCAAGGAGAAATAGAGAAAATGGATCATAGCTAAAACTCATGGAAATGTAAAATCCATCCTCTTTAAAAGAGTTCTGTAAATAGACTGCACCTTGGACCCTGTTCAGACTTGGTGTTATAAGTGGAGAACTAGCGCAGGTGTGAATACGCACAAGATACATTGAGCATGTATATAACATACTCCTCAGGTGACGTTCTCTTATCTGTGTGAATACAAAATCCTCTGGACCACCTACTCAGCTGATGTCCTCTGACCTGCTACAGATTCACAATGACTCGAACATATTTTTACACTTACGTGTTTCCCTGACACAGAATTATTTGTGGCCACCACCTCGATATTAAAACTGACCGCCACATATTGATTTCCTTATTTTCTTCTCATGGATAAAACCTAATTTATTTCAGCCCCTCCTACCTCTGCTCTTTCCCTCTCGCTAACTAAGACTAACTAAAAACAAGAAAGTGCAAACAGATGATGTATGTGAGTGTGCCAAGTGTGAACTGACGAACTTAGATCTGTCCACTTGTGATGGACGGATGTCAACACCAGGTCTGATCAGGGTTGTAGACATGCAGACCGTAGGATCGAACCATCAACCCTCCCATTCGTCACCGACCTCCTCCACTTCCTGAACCACAGCCACTGATAATTTCACAACCAGCAGTCCAGTAAATTACACACAGACGTCCTCATGCAGCTCTTTGTCACAGCCGCGCCTCTTACACAATCCACTTGTCATCGATTGTGGCTCCTTTCAACTACTCCACACTTGTTATTAGCTGACACTGAAGTATAGGTTTCTTTTATGAGCCAAGATGGAGCCACCAGGCTGTGACTTAAACTGACGTCAGAAATCTTAAGCAGTGTTGCTGCTTCTGTAATGATGAATAATGTGAATAAGGTTTATGAGTGTATACGAAACATACCCTGCTTTTGGCCTTCATACTCAGGGTTGTCCCTGTTTACTTGCTCTCTAGTAAGTCTGTGGCTCTGCTAATAAGTAGCTTATTGGCTCTGTGGTCCCAGTGGGGAAAGTAGGATGATCCACAGTCAACTTACACACACACACGGTTGCTATGAGCACAGAGCACCTGCTATTAGTCAGGGACACACAGATCATGACTTCCTCTGTTGGTGAGCTGGGGTGTTGATCATAGAGCTTGTTTCTGCATTATTTGACTCTTCATCTTATTTGTAGGTAAGGACTTGAAACTCACACCTGGTTGAGGAATCATTTCTCGATTTCTGAAACATAGTTTCGAACAGGAAGTGTTTTTTTGTTTAAATTGTATTTTTATTCTATATTCCATGTTTCATGGTTTCACTGAACATCTGTTATTTCTTCCTGGAGCTACTAGTGTGTCTGTGTGTGAGTGTCCGATAAAAGGAGAGTGGATCTGGATTTACTCGTTGAGGAGGACTTTGAACCAATATGCCTGTCTTTTTTTTCCAGGTTACCCAGGCTCTTACAACCAGCCACCCTATCCCATGCCTCAGCACGGCGGCCAGTCCATTGCCCCTTATCCTGTTTCCCAGGGAGGGTATGGAGATCCGGGTCAAGCTCCTCCCCCGGGCTTTAACATGGGCTACAACCCAGGCCAGCCTCCAGTCATGTACCAGCCAGCACCAGTCGCCACAGCTCCAGGGCCAGACTACGGCGGAGCTCCGGGAGCGATCTCCCCGGCCCCGGTCGGTGTGCCAGCTGCAGTTCCTGTGGGGTTACCTCCGGGGCTTGAGTACCTCACTCAGGTGGGTCTTGAAAACAATAGTGGTTTGCAATGCTGTTACATCTTAGAAATGGATAGTTGGATGGATTACTCATTCACCACTCCTTCTTTTCAGGAATTTGTTTCCTCTTTGTTCTTAACTTTTGAACTCACTTTACTCATAGAGATTATTCTACACGCTTGAGTGTGATAATTTGAGGGTGTTTTGTGATTCGCCCTAAAAAGCTACAGTACTTAATAGGGCTTAATAGGTTGTGGTTTTTGACTCTTCTTCATGATGACAAAATATTTCACAAATCTGAGTTTATCAATTATACCTCCTCACTGTACTTGCACAATTATATATATATATATATATATATATAAATTGGACTGTTGTTATATTTCTATTGATGAATATCATATATTGATAGTTATTGATATTCAGGTACTGGAACCAATAACAGGTAATTGTAGTGAGCTATGATTTAACTAAGAAAAGAGGAGTGATGTGACTTTACTGTTGGAACATTTCATTTCCGTTTTCTCTCTAAAAACAATGTGATGTGACCTCAGTCTCCTCAGCTGTCTGAACTTTACCCACTGCATTGTTTTTTAAATTTTTTATAAAAACACTTACTTGATTTGTTTCCTCTGTTCAAATCAACTTAAGACTTAAATAGAGTTTCAACAAAAACCTGAACTAGTTTTCAGGATTCTCTGTGTACTCAGAACAGGAACACCATATGTAAATACATAGAATGACTCTGACCTTTCTGAAGTCGACTGTCCACACAGCTGCTGTTGTGTTAGTTAATGGCTTTAAGGGAAATTCACGAGTTAAGTTACTTTGCATTGCAAATAAAGAAACCGTTGCAGCTTTTCACTTGTTCTCAGTGGAATATAACTTTCACACTTGATGATCATATTTTCTTGTGATTCTCTATTAATTTCCTTATTTCCTTCCTTGCTTTTTTTGTGTTTCTCACATTGTTCTCTCCCTTGTGGTTTTAGATCGACCAAATCCTGATTCACCAAAAAGTGGAACTCCTAGAGGGTAAGGGCGTGCTGCTTGCTCATCCAGTCATATTTACTCTTACTACTTTGTGGACAGGATGTAAATGTCATGTTTAAATCTCTCTATAGAAATCCTAATGATATTATTGACATCGGGCCAGGAATTCTTTCTTTATCAAAACTGTTGCCACCCTTTTTCCTTTTCCGCTTCCTTTCCAACACTGGACAGCTTTTATCGGGTTTGAGACCAACAACCAGTACGAGATAAAGAACAGTCTTGGCCAAAAGATCTACAAGGCCAAAGAGAAGAACGACTGCTGCACCAGAAACTGCTGCGGCTCGCTGCGCAGCTTCGACATGAAGATTAAGGACAACATGGACAGAGAGGTCATCCGCCTCATACGGCCGTTCCGCTGCGTTTCCTGCTGGTGTCCCTGCTGTCTGCAAGAGGTATGTGTGGATGTAGATGTCAAAGGTAGCTGTTAACAGCCTTATTGTGTATTGAGTTACCTCGCCAAGGCCAATACTTTAACAATTCAAAAGTAAATTCAGCACCAAATCACCCTGATTACTCACTCCAGTAATTGATTAGCTCTCTGGTATCTGTGGTATTATATTTGTACCCTCCATCTGCAAATGCCATTGTCCACCATGACTAATGTTAATAATTAATCATGTACATTTTCTGGGGAATTTCATATGTGAAAGGAAATGTCCTTGTGTCTAAAATACAACAAAAGTGGAGTTTATTTTGAAACCTGTTTTTCCTGCCTTTACCTTGTTTTGCTGTTGAGTTGCTGAGTGCCGTTTGTTAGGTCTATGAATGGCCCCTTGTCTGAACTATCTCCCAGACTCCCCCACCTTTCTATCTCTGTCTACGCTTAATGACTGAGTTGGCATCGACCGGCTACCATGCGTTTCCCACTGGCCGCGGTCTCCAGCTCCTCCACGGTCACACACTGCAGTGCTCTGTTTACTGAGCAGACCGGAGCCATGTGAGATGTATTACCTTTGTTATGTGGTGTCACAGTGGAGCAGTCAGAGTCCTTCTTATCATTCCGACTGTCTCGTGTGATCTGCTGCGTGGCCCCGTGATCGCTTTATTTATAGCTGACAGTGTCAAAGGAGGAGGTCAGTTTTTACAGTTCTAGGTGTATCACGTTAGTTTTTATCTTTTAACTATGTGACCTACAGATGGAGGTCCAGGCGCCGCCCGGCACCACCATAGGCTATGTGAAACAGGACTGGCACCCTTTCCTGCCTCGGTTTTCCATCCAGGGAGCGAACAAGGAGACGCTGATGAAACTGGAAGGGCCCTGCTTCGCCTGCAACTGCTGCGGAGACGTCAACTTTGAGGTGAGAGAATCGTTGTTGGTGAAAGGTTATGTAGACTGAAACAAATCTTCTGTGCCAAGATTGACAGCTATTACTGATAAATCAGTTGTATCAATCTGCTTGTCTAACTAAGAGAATAAATATTTTTAAACCAAAATACATAATTTCTTAAAACAAACCGAGGTAGTTTGAAATGACTCCAATTTTGGTGTTTCTTGGAAACACCTCCACCCTTACGCTCGACAGTTTAGAGGTCTTACATAAAACTGTTCTTTTCGTGTCTCAGCTGAAGGGGAAAGATGGAGACAAGCCCATCGGTCGCATCAGCAAGCAGTGGAGTGGTCTCCTGAAAGAAGTCTTCACCGACACGGACAACTTTGGCATCCAGTTCCCACTGGACATGGACGTGAAGATGAAAGCTGTGCTCATGGGAGCCTGCTTCCTCATCGTAAGTCGTGATCTGATTGAACAAACATAGATTTCTCATCAGTGGGATCTTGCTGAATGATGATCATTTCCTTGCTTGTTCTCACTTTCCAGGATTTCATGTTTTTCGAGAAAGTCGGAGAGGCCAACCAGCGCAGCAGCGTGTTTTCATAACAGAGGAAAGGAAAGGAGGGCAAACAACAGCATGGGAGGAAGGACTTTATCCAGTTATGCATGTTTCTGTTTATTACTTTTTTCATTTCTTTTTTGATCTTCACCAGATTCCAGCCAATATGGTGCTAACACCACATGTTCAGACCAGTATGAGCTAATGAACTGTGATTCCAGACGTCTGCCAAGTTTTTTGTTAACAATCCAAACTCAGACACTGACGCCATGTTGCCAATATTCCTTACACTCCATGTAGTCTGTTTAAATTTGAATCTATTTGCATCTGCTGAGATTTCCTCTTTCATTATTGATGCTGTGCTTTTTGTGATTATTATTGCACATGTATACGTTCTTATAGAGAAGAATACACCAGACAGAAGCAGTCTGTTGATCCACCACTTTGGTCTAGACTGAAATATCAGTGATATTGCAAATATTTGCATGCAAGCAAGCTAAACTAAGACAGCTAACACTGTAAATATTATACTTTTTGAAAATCAGCATGATAGCATGGTCACTGTGTGCCTTTTTATGCAAGCTAATGTTAATATTTAGCTCGAAGCATTGCTCAGCCTAACCCAGACTCACAGAGCTGCTAGTAGCCTCTTAGCAAACGCTGTAGACTTTATCTTAAAACTTATAAAATTAGAAATATAGTCAACTAAGCACTATCTACAGTAATCTGTTGTTATATAGCTTGTGCCAGGAAGTTGTGGTTGGGATTATAGACTGTACATAAAGATGGACGACCTGTCTCCACTTCCTCCCACTATCCAGAAATGATGGCAAAATATCAAGGATGCGAACGCTGCCATCTTGCGCATTTGGAGCCAGAGTCATAGATGGGGGGGTGGAGCCACAGTATCAAGGTCCCATCGATATCTGTGCTCGACCAATCTTGTTTCATTTGATGTGTAATATGACTTCATGTTTTTGTCCGTGTTCCATCCACTAACACGGAGAAGGCAGGTTTTATGACCTATTCTGCATCTAGCCACCAGGGGTTGATCAAGATGCTTAGCGCACAGCCATGTCGTCCCTCTTTCTGTACAGTCTATGGGCGTGACAGTGAGACTAATGGGAGAATGTTTAATATCTTGTAGTCAGCGTTGACATATGTGCTGACAGTATTTACCAAAGTGCTCTTTCTCTACCTCTACACTGTCTTTCTCTTTCTCAGACCTAGTCTACATAATCTGAACAGAACTGTAGCTCACACTCCTCCTCCGTGTTGTAGTTGTTGCCGTGGAGACTGGTGCCACAGTCAAACCTTGCCCTCCAGTTGCTCCAGATGCGTTGGACTGGAGACAGTGCGATGAAAAATAGAAACGTGGGAAAGGAAATTAAAAAAACAGAAGTTAGGGTTAGTGAATGTTGATGTGACGTGGGGAAGATACCTGTGTGTAAAAAGTGCAGTGAGGAAATATGCTTTAGTTTTTGTGCAGAGAGTAACCTCAATGTGGACTCGTGACTTTTGGTCTTGAGAATCATTTTCTATTTGATTCATATAATCATCAGAGCTCCTATGGGGCTCAGTTGCCACTATTGCTTTCCAATCTAAACTCTGTATTACACTGTCAGTAACTGTGTCTTATTACTTTTAACTGTAAATATGTAACCATTCGTCTGTCTGCAGTCTGACCTCTGATGAGGACAGAGAAAGTAGCCAGATTGTGCCTTTTTTGAATCAGTTATATCTGCAGCCACCTCTTTGTACTATTTTCCATAAATGTGTGTCTTGTGATTGTTATATACTTTGTTACATAAAGAATACGTTGTAGTTCACTGCCATTGTTCAAGTGTTGTTTTCCTCTCCGTCAGTGCTTCTCTCGGAAAGTCTGGGGAAGACCCACATCTGGTTTTACTTGGAAAAAATGGTTGTTGGATCAGAGGGAAATCCAGTCCCAGAATTAGTCGGTGGCAAGTTCTGCAGAGACTTGGTCACTTTCTCAGGACAAAATGCCCTTCTCTGGTTACAGTATCAGCGTCCTCTCAGTTTTGTCTGCTCGCTTTTATCTTACAGATTATATCCATGCTCTACTTTAGCTGCAATAAAAGAAACAAAACCTCCCTTTTCTGCTTCGATACTGGACGTCTGACTGCTCCACCTCCTGCAAACAAATGAGTACTACATGCAGTAGTACTTAGGAGCATGTCTGAACATGTCAGTCACTGTGGGAGCATCACTTCTTCTGTGGAATAATTTAGAAATGAGTTGTCCCTCTAATAATATAAAATCCTACAGTTCCTTTTATACAGAAACAGTCCTATTGCTCAGCCAATGGTTGCACAGGATATTTCACCTGCTGCAGTTTTTGTATTTATTTACTGAGTCTATTTACACAGTATATGTAAACTGAGAGTACTTGCTATACAAATGTCTCAGCAGTGCAACGTGTCATCTTCAAGTATATTCCCCAGAAAGCTTTCATCCTCCCTTCAGTACAATGTAATGCTCTGCATTAACATAATGCACAAAATTCAAATAAAGTTCCTCTTACATCTAATGTTATACCGTAATGCATCATGGTGAATCCTGTGAAAACTAAAAAGATGCTATTTATTTATTAATATAATGGAAAATATATTAGGTTGTATTGTAAATATTCAACCCTACCTAAATATACACTATGTATGAACCTCTATATGTCACCTTTGTATGGAAAAATGTTTTTGTTGTCTCAATAGACCTGATTTTATTATTGTATTCTATCTTGGCCTATGTCCTGATTTTCCACTAAGTTTTAGTGGAATCGGTTTAGTAGATTTTGCACCATGCTGCTTACAAACAGCAATCGAGGTCGAGGTAAAAAAACTACAACACAGATTTCTACTTCTTTGTAAAAACCTGCTGCCCACATTAAACACAATGCAACTCTGCCAACAACAGTTTGGCCACAGGTCCAGGTGTGTTACGATGTTATGCAGAAGTACTTCTCATCTCCTGTGGACTTAAAAGTGTAAAATCAGACCAGATCATCATTTTTATTCAACAGAATAATAATTTCTAACACAATATTTACAAATTCATTCAGGTACAAAAACTATTTGCAGCTAACGTAATGTGCAGGATAACGTCTCAGTGAAAATACAAATCGAATACAAAATAAAAACAGAAATATTTGAGTCATTGTGCATTAAGCTTTTTAAAAATGTGTCCATCTTCATTTCCCTGTTTTAATCTCCACTGGAGTAAATGTCCACACAGTTTCTGAGGCTGTGTCTGTGTTTGTCGCTGTAAAGCAGGAAGTCGCTGGAAAAGTCAAACATCCACTTTTAAACAAAAGTCAAATCAGCTTCAGACTCGACGCTCTGCGCTGACTTGAGGTCGCTCCCTTTCTACTGGGCCGGCCCTGTCGTCCCGGGTCGATCGGATCAGGAAGCGGCTGGCCAGCTGCAGGTTCCACTGGTATCTGGAGAGGATCCTCAGACAGTCCTCTTTGGAGCAGAGGCTCAGCGAGTACAGCTGCTCGAACTGGGGGGGAAGAGAGGACGAGGTTCAGAGGCAGCAGCATCAAAATACAGTGGATATGTCATTCAAATAAATAGAGAAGAAACAAGTGCTGTTATTTTATTTCTGAGCCTGGAACTTGATGTTTTGCAGAACACCTGCTGTGACATCACTTCCTGGCTGTGGCCTGTTTATTTCAGTTTTCTGTCAAACCACATTATGCAGAAGATGCACTAGAAAAATGACTTTAAATTAAAACCAGATTAAAATTCACAGTTGGACTCTTTTTCAAAAACACCCACCCAGCATCCGTTAGCGTGGGACATTATCTCTTATTATGATCTCCAGAAAGTGTCCACACCCAATTCAGAGGATATTTATCAGAGTCTGAACTGGGTTGTGTATTACATCAGTTGGTTCAAACAGCAGAAACAAGTAGTTTGTGTTTTCTTCGTGATTCCGACCTTGAGTTGTTGCTCGGCTCGCACCGGGTTGCCGTCACAGCGCTGCAGTGCAGTATGAACCTCCTCAGTGGTCACTCCGTGTACGGACTCCATGACCTGACCAGAGCACAGCAATTTTATTTTATACGTTTTTTAAATGCAAAATATTCACTATATTTTAATCCTGTTGAAAACACTAATCGAAAACTGTACGGAATCTCATTTCATACCTGTGCGATGAGACTATCCCTCGTGTTCTGCCCATGTGGAGACTTCTCACGGTCTCTGATTCGTTCTCGCTCTCTCTCCCTGTTATCCGCTTCATCCAGCTGTGGGGTCGAGCGTGCCATGTTGGCCATCTTAGCCAGGTTGGAGCCTCCCACTCCAGGCTGAGGCTGGTGCTGGGGCTGAGGCTGAGGTGGTGGCTGTGGTGGAGGGGCCAGGATCAACTGTGAGGGCCAGGAGGCGCCTGGGGGTGGGTTGACCATGGGCCTCCTCTGAGACTTGTTCAGGCGTTTTAGGTTGGGGGGTGGCGGTCGTGGCGGTGGAGGGATACTGGCCTCGCTGAAGCGACGGGTGTCCTGCTGCATCAACAAGCTGTGAGCTGCCATAGGGGGCATGAGTCTGCCCTGCTGGTCCACTCTGATCACCCCGACTGTGTGAGCCCGAGGCCGGTGTCCACTCAGGACCGACTCCAGGCTCTGAGACATCCCTGAAGACACAGAGAATCTTTTAAACGAAAGAAATACACTATTACAGTATTAAGGCTGAGAGAATAATCCTGTTTTGGCCTAAAAAAGCCACTAGGGGGCAGACTGGCCAAATGTGACTGAATGAGTGAGTAGTTTAACAAACAATGAAAATAGATCGTATAATATAGGTATAATAATTAACATTACATTAATACAACATTAATTCCAGGACACTTCAGAATTCAGACTTTAGGTGCTCATTGTCCATTCTACTTGGTTGAAAGGCAAAGAAATCTCACTATATTTCTGCTTTCAGACCAGGACAAAGACAATATGAATATCAGGAGAAACATTGTTCTGTGATGCTGCTGATGTTATATTGTCATATGATCTTAGCAGCTCCACTCTCCATGTTCTGCAGCTGCTTGTATTTTTAGTCCCTACCTGCCATTTTCTGCAGATTGGATCCGTCCTTCTCTCTGACAGGGTTCGGCCTCCAGCTGCCGCTGCCGCTGCACAGGTCACAAAAGTAAACACGTTAGTTTGACAGCTTCGGCTCACAGACTGAGCTGAGTGACAGCAGGTGAAAGGTCAGCTCTGCACTCTGGTTGGCTTTCTGCAATAAAACTCAGGGACTTGAGCAGCTGAGGTGGGAGTTCACTTGATTTTATAAATGATATCGACAGAGTATGTGTTGTATTTTGTGCTAAGGCTGCAAAACAAAAACATAGACACAATGTATTCAAACATAGAACAGCAGAAAAATCTGGAGACGGGAGCATGTCTTAAAGCAGCTCAAGTAAATCAAAGAGGAGAATGAGGGGTGTGACTGACTCGTCCAGGCTCTCCTGTGCTCTCCAGCAGCGTTCAGGTTTGATGTCTCCGTGCCCGGTGTGTTGCAGACTTCCCTTCAGAGGCGCCGAGATGTGGATGGAAACGGAAGCGGGAACAGGATGGCTGGATGATGCCGCGGGAGCGGCAGCAGCGAGACCAGGAGGGAGCAACGGTGCTGTGAGGCTCGCAGGAAACCAGCCGACTGTGAGCGTCCTCTGATTCTGGCCTCTCCACTCGCTCAGCTCCAGACTGCAGAGACACGGTGAACTTAGTTTAACTTATAAGTAAACTATTTAACTATTTAAAGTAAAAATAAACTACTGGTCATTCCAGATCTGTTATGGTGAACTAAACACTGTCAAATACCAAGGACTCCATGAGATCACGGTTGGAATGCAGCCTGTTTAAAACTTTTTTCTCATCCTAACAAAAGCCCATTGTATCGGCCAAAGTTTAGCCTTTTCTCTCATTTCCCTTCTCTCTCTCACTCACCCATGATCTATGACCGTCACAAGGTCGTTGACCACCAGGGTGAGTTTTCTGGGTTCAGAGAAGTCTCGCGTTACTTGCACCTCCATTGGTTTCGCCTGTGGATGGAAAAAAGTTTAAAATCCCAGAATCTTCTCTTAGTTCCATCACCAGACACAACTGTGTGTTTCTGCATATTTCCAGACCTCTGTCACCATGGTGGTGAGCTGTGCGAAGCTGGGTCTGTCAGCGGCGTTGAGGGCCCAGCACTTCCTCATGACGGTGTACAGCTCCTGAGGACAGTCCGGCGGTTTCTCCAGACGCTCGCCCTCCCGCTCCACGCGCCACAAAATCTGCATCCAAGGAAGCAAATGTCAGCAACACTGAGACGCTGAGTCACAGACAAACAACGTCGGGGTGGGGACACACATTCCACACATGAAGACAAACACGCAGACTGGCACGGAGACAAAAATGGAAAACGTGAATGTTCAGAAGGAGCCGGCAGGCTGGTACCTGTCGCCCTGACAGCCCGAACCACGGTTCCTCGCAGTACGTGAACATCTCCCACAGTGTGACGCCAAACATCCACACGTCTGAGGCGTGGGAGAAGGAGCCGACACGAAGACTCTCTGGAGCACACCTGGAAAAAAATAAGAATTTAATTTAAGACCAGAAGGAAAGTTAGAATTTTTAGTCCCATTATTTCCATGTGCCCTCACCATGCGAACGGGATGCGCTTGTGTGCCGACATGATGTAGTGATCGCTCTCTTGGCTCAGACCTCTCATCAGGCCAAAGTCTCCGATCTTCACAATATCCCTGGACGCCAGCAGCACGTTTCTGGCAGCCAGGTCCCTGTGGATGAACCTCCTGGTCTCCAGGTAATCCATCCCCGCCACGATCTGGGCAGCAAAGAGCCAGAGGCGGACTAGCGGGTACTCATACTGACGTGAGCGCAGGGTGTCATACAGTGAACCCACAGGAGCGAGCTCTGTTACCTGGAGGACGGAGGTATGGGTCAGTGTTCTAGTTTGAATCACTCCTTGATTGTTTGATTCAAAACACCACATCTTACCATCTTGAGCGGCTGTGTGAGCACCACGCCGTACAGTCGCATGATGTTGGGGTGGTCCAGCGACTGCATGATGGTGACTTCCTGGAGGAAGTCGGTCAGCGTGTCCGCCTGCCGCGACAAACTGCTCCTCAGGGATTTCACTGCGACAGGGAGCTGAGAAGAGTCAAGAGGGTCAGTCTCAACATATTTGGGTTTAAATCACATTCAGTGGAGTACAGCAGATACATAATTTGATTTGCAACTAAATGTGTATACATGCACACAGAAATCCCAAACCATATATTTCATAGAGCATGCTGAATGTTTAGTTGGTGTTACATAGTAAACTACATGATAAATAGCATCTACATCAATGATCTTCTGATATCTTTCCTTACTATTCTCCCGGTGGGTGTGTGCCACTCTCCCCTCTTCACCACCCCGAAGGACCCAGAGCCCAGCTTCTCGCCCAGGATCAGCTCGCTGTCCTGTATCAGACATGGAAGAGCGCGGCCGCCGCCCTCCTGGCCCTGAGCCTGCTCTCCTCCATCCAGAACTCGCCCGCTAAACACCTGTGTGCATCGATGAATACATTTAAAAAAACTAACATGACAAACGTGATCACATGCCATCTACAACTACAGACCTTGGGCATCCAGGGCCGTGATCTGGAATTTGCCTTGTAGCGTTTCAGAGCCTCCCATAATCTTCGTTGTGCTGGAAGACAAAGATTCACGATAATATTCTTTATTTTACAGATAAAAGAATTTTACAACAAGAAGGACAGAGGCAACACAGAAAAGACATTTTAACATATCCTGTAAGTTACATCATTTTAAAGATGTAAGTGCCTGAACAAAGGGGATCTGTTTAACTTTAACAGCTGATTGTGATAAAATGACATCATGTCCAGTGATGAAGGGAGAGAGAAAAACCAAGTAAGGACACTGTGATGATAAAATGCCAATGATCAATAACTCCATCAATACTGTAAATCCAAAGGTTGATTAGAGGTTTAAACTGAAGACAAGGCTTTTGTACTGAAACGATTTGAAACACTTCTTTGTCTTGTAATTAACTTCCCTCACTGTGACAAAGGGGAAATCCTCTGAGTGTGTCTGTATTGACTTTCAGTCGACGTGCACGATCAAAGGAGACGATCAGGCTCACCGGGTTTGCTGATTCCTATCTGCTCCAGATCAGACTCCTTGACGTAGGAGAAGTGCTCGATGCAGGTGATGTTGAGGCCGTCTCTGACGCGCAGGTAGAACTTCTCCAACTGGACCTCAGCCAGGAGGTTGTACAGCCACTGAGTGTCTTGGTCCATCAGCATGACCGGGCCGACCTGACTTTAGGGGACAAAGGTCAAAGGTTTACAAGAAATCTTATTTTCTGTAAAGATTTCCAGTCCAGGAATCTAAGACAAACCTCTAAGATGCAATTCTTACATTACCATGGTTGTATCTCATTTAACTTCAATAACATTACAAAGGGTAAAAAAAAAATAGAAAAAGTGATTCTTTCCATTGTATATATTAGAATCAAAAACTATTCCTCAATGTCTGCCCATCTCATTCTGCAGAATATATGAGTTACACAAACCAAAAGAGGAACAACTGTTTATCTTTAAGCTCTTTTACAAACAAGAGCAAATTGAGTCATTTGCATATGTTCACACTACTAAACAGAACGTAAGTTACTCTGATGAGGAAACAGAAAAACAGAGGAGGAGCAGGTGGATGAGGAGATAGAGTGTCACGAGAAACAAAAAGAGACATTTCAAATGTTACGTTCCTCAGAAGCATTAACATGTCGCTCCAGTGTGAGGACTGTGAGAAGGGTTGTGACTCAGTTTGACCTTTAGAGGTGACGATCCTGCAGGGAGTCATTGAGAAACTTGAAAAACTGAAAGGTGGAAACATCAGTTTGTGGTTTAGGGGCACTAGTCGGACCGGATTCTGTTCACACAGTATTTATGTAACAGCAGAAGACATAAGACGACAGAATACACTCTTAAGAGAGAGAGGATCCTTTTCACCTTTACGTTACCTAGTGACATATTACAGCGGCTGCCCTGCAACAAGTGCAACAACAAGGATGATTAAGCCACTAAGTGAAAAACACAGCAATTCCCCCCGATGTCACTGGAAGGTTGTTCAGCCATAAAACACCTGCTTATCAGCGCACCAAGCCCAGCAGCTATGAGTCAGTGGAGCTCTTCAACATTCCCATGTCAGCTGGAAAGAAAAACGTTGACATCCAAACGAAACGTCTCGCAGAGCTACATTGTCTTCTGCAAAGCCAGACATGAGGGTACCGGCCCGGGCATGCATCGACTTCAGAGGGCAACTCCCCGATTATTCATTTGCACTAAAGCTGCCACTGAGCGTGAGGCGAGCTCCCTGCAGGTTACTCAAAGAGAAAAAAGAAAAACATTGAACATGGACTCGCTGGTAAACAAACAGAGCTCTGTGATCGTTCTCTCTGTGTGCACACGGATGAATTTTTAACCTGCTTGGCAACTGAAACATCCTCTCAGCGTAAAGGCATGTGTCACCAAGCGGCCTAACTTTTAATTAAAAGTATAAAGTGACTGAACAGTAGCAGAGCTTTATATCTCTGACTCCAAACTACAGCCAGCAGTGTTCGTTTACCCAGAGGGACAGAGACGTTTGTTTACTCGGGTGATGCCTGTTTCCTCTGTACTGAGAACGAATCAAGATCAATCCTCAGTGCAACGCTTGTATTTACCCACTGACGACACTTCACTTGCACAGAAATGCACAGTCGCCACACTCGATAACACTTGAAACACACACGTGTCTGTGATCAAAAGACGGGTGTGCCTCTCAACAGTACAGACGATTTGAGTGTGTGTAGAGTGAAGAGAAGACGTATTCAGATCTTTCATTTGAGTGACAGCAGCAGCGCTATAACACAAATATGCTGCTTACGTTCAAAACTACATGTTGAAAAATACACGTACAAAACAAAAGCAGTATGTTGTAGCCGGTAAGAGTGATGTCAGGAAAGTTTCAAGGGACTTTGCCGGCCCAGGGCAAAAGGGACTCATTAAAACGTTGCTGTTCTCAGGGGGGACCCCTCTCAGCTTGGGGGCCCCAGGCAATTGCCCCGCTTTGCCCACCCTGTTTCAACGCCCCTGTGTGAACCTGTTAGAAACTGGTTTATTTACTTAATCCAGCACAAAGCACCACGACTAATAAACTCACTTTATACTCAGCTCTGAAAAAACAACATTAAGAGACCACTTACTACTTTTCTCCTCAATATAGGCTGATTTAGAAACTAGATTATTTCACAAAGCTTCTCCAACTTTAGATATTTGTTCCCATTCACTCGCCTCCAGATCCTAGATACTCACCGTTAATCAGAATAAGTGGGTCCTGGTTTTATCCACACACACACACACACACACACACAGAGAGAGAGAGACCAGTGATCCAAAGCGACGCAGGGTTTCATGACAAATCACAGACCTCCTGTCAGTCCCGCAGCTTCTTCTGAATAAATCTCCTTCTCATGAATCCACGTGGTGTTAGAGGTGAAGGTTTCAGGTGTATATGTGATTATTTTCAATGTTTAATGTCCCCGGAAGAAACAAGAAGTGAGACTGTGATCTTTACCTGTGTGTCCTCCGCTCCTGGCTCCGCCCCTCTCCCCGGTGACTGAGCTGACCACACCCCTTCCTCCCTGACGTGTCTCACCTGAGATTTCACAACACAACACAACACAACACAACACAACACTACACAACACAACACATCATAACCCATCACATACAATACAACACAACACAACACAACACTACACAACACAACACATCATAACCCATCACATACAACACTACACAACACAACACAACACATCATAAAATAACCCAATAGACAACACGTCATAACACATCACATACAAAACAACACAACACATAATAACAGTCTACATTTTGTCAAATGTAAGTTTTCAATCAACATCTCATCAAAAAGTATACATAGGTTAATAATTGGTGACTGAATGAAAGGTCTGCAGTTGTAAAATGATTCTGGTTCAGAAAACCTGCAGCAGTTTAGAAGACGTTTCTTTCCCCAAAAATGATTCTTATTAATATAAAATTAATATTTTGCACATTGACAGAATAATACATATAAGAAAGACCTACCAGCTCAACAACAGCCTCACAACGTCTAAAAAGTGGAATTAACACCTCTTATAAATAATTTAAACAAAAATAAACACTATAGAAAGGATTTGCAGTATTAAAGTAAGCTCTGGTTGGGTGTGCCTAATAAAAATGCAACTGGAATTTAAAGCAGTAATAAGTTTATTATCCTCTGACTTCACAGCGCAATTTACAGTAATGTGATGATCACAGGACAATACCTTGTTATTAATTGCTACCATGATGATGATTTATTAGTCAGAGCGGAGGTGGATATTATTCCTATAAATAACATGATGAACTCTCTCCATCGACCACGTCTGGCCTGCGTTTGACCTGAGACGAAACCGGCAGTGACTTGTGACTCAAATCAAGAAACTCAGATGGTTTTCATCCTCTGTCTTTCCCTCCTTCATTCCTCATCGCTGCAGAACGAGTCTGACAGGATTTCTTTTTCCCTCCCACCCTCCCTCCTGATAATTGAATGTGAAATCAACCTGCAGGCAGCAGAGTGGAGGGCCTGTCTGTACTTTGCACTTCCTGGTACAGTTTCTGCCCCGTGCATGCTCGCTCCTCCCTGCCCGCCTGAATTGCTCAACGTGCACACAATAGATTCCAGCCGCTCAAAAGGGAGGCTGCAAACAGGAGCGGCCCTGGGGATCCGCTTACACTTCTTTTCATGCACTTTGAACGAAAGCTGTCAGAGGCCGGGAGGCGCACAGCAGGTGTTTTACTTTGGGAGGTCAATTTCTTCTCAGAGCTTCTTATATGGTGTCAAACCTTTTTTCCCCCTCACACACCGTCACTGATAATTTGACAGCAGGGCCTCAGCCAACAAACACCATAAACAACAGTGTTGACTGAACCTCAGCGTCACGACCTGACCCACCAGATATTTATACAGCAAACTGTCATCTAGTCTCCAGGGCTGATGAGAAGTGTGTTTACACTCTTAAATCTCTCCTCAGCTTTGTCTCTGAAGTGTTTGAGTGTCAGCTGACAGTGTGGGAGTGTGTCTGAGAGACGGGGACGGCTGGAGGTGAAGGGACAGGGCCTATGTGTGTTTCAGTGCTGGGAAAAAGTTTGTGAACTGAGCTGAGAGCGAGCAGCATTCTCACATAAATGAAAGAGAAATGAAGCAGTGCTGCCTCAGGGATGGGTCGTTTCTCTCCCTGTGAAAATCTGCCACTGTCATTGTCTTATAATGGCTCCTGTGAGAGTAGAGGAAGTAAGTTTGCATTATTTGACAGAAAAAGGTCAAACATTAAGAGAAAGAAGAAGCAGAAAGTTGTGCTCGCTGAGGAACACACGTTCCAACTTGGAGCCAACTCAAAGCACAATAAACGTGATATCATTCATAAAATTACACATGATCCTTCATTTAGAAAGAGAAACCTTATAAACAAGGTAGACTCTGACACAGTCATTTTAATTTGAAGATCAGACATCAGTAAGGCACAAATACAAATATGATAAAAAAAATACATAACAGATAAAAAGGAGTAAAAACAATGAATATATATTGATTAAAATAAGATAATAATGTTGTAAGATAATAACACCAACAGCGCCCTCTACTGCCCCATCGCTGTAATATCATCCATCAACTACAAAACGTCATCATAAAGCGACAGTATATTTATTCATTTTTTATAATCTAAATAATAATTATAAAAACATGAAGACGCTATTTTTTCTTTAATATAATTGTGATCCTGGAAAAGAAAGACTTATTTTGAAAAGGGGGTTCTACCATCAACTTCCTTCCGCATACGCAATACGTACCCGGAAGTGCTCCTCGGAGTGTAAACACATGGCTCCCAGCTGAGAGTGAGAAGCCGGACGATGCCGAAGCTCTCGGAGGTGAAGTTCCCCGGAGACTGTGCGACTCTCCCGGCGGGTTTCTGGTCGGCTGTGGGGGTGTGGGTGGAGAAACCTCACGTCGTCAACAAGCGTCTGTGTGGAGCTAAAGAGACGGAGGGTAAAGATGTGGAGGACGTGAGCCTCCTGCTGGGTGTCCCCCATGACCCGGATGTGTTGTCCTTCCTCACCTGTAAGGTCTCACCTGCAGGGACACACGAGGGGGAGACACGCTGCTCCTCCAGCGTCAGGACGTTCATCCCCAAAGTCAGTAAAGGGGCAAACCTGCAGAGAGAAGTCGTCCTGAGAGGTGAGAGGTGGAGGACAGTCAAAGAGTCAGTGTGTTGTTGTTGTTGTGTTTCTTTTTTAATACTTGTTGTTTGTTTGTGTTGTTCAGACTTTGTCAGACAGCAGGTCACGTTTCTTCCTCTGGAGGAGGACGCAGAAGGAAAAGTGTCCCTGAAGAAGAGCAACATTTATCAGATTCAGCTCTGCAGCCACGACTCTGAGGGATGGTGAGGCTCAAGTTATCTCACTCATATAAAACTGGACTGCACTGTTTATGGGGACTGATGCTGATATTAGGGAGTAAAAAAGATACACCTATATTTATGACTATGTCTAACGGTGGCCGAGAGAGGTCAACGCACTGCGAATTAAGAAAACAACTTCATCAATTTAGATAGATAGATACTTTATTGATCCCGAGGGAAATTTAGGCATCTAGTAGCTCCCAAAACAGTCAAACACAAGATCATAAGAATAATAAAAGTATAAGTTCACTGCAGAGAGAAAAGTCCAGCCACCAGAACTACTAGAAAGCTGTCAGTGTAAAGAAGTATGTGCTAATGGAGATATTCACAACACAATAATTTAAGGTGATTAAAAAGACACAAGTAACCGTAACTCTGCTGATTAGTGTTTCACATCTTCATCTGGACTGAAATAAAAGATTAATATGGGATAAAATGTTATTTTGCACCAAGTTAAGAACTTATCTTTGTGTTTTTTTCTTAAAGATTAGATTAAAGCATGCTCATAAATCTCACACATGCAGACCATGAAATCCACCAGCAGCATTTAAAAGAAAAAGAGAGAAAAGCATTTCAGGTGACTCTGGTTTTATCGACAGGTCCTTGGAGCTGCACGTCTTGAGTCCGGACGCGTGGTTTTCCGATGGCGTGGTGCACCCCAAGCTGCCGTGGCTGACCTCGGAGCTGCTGCCCAAACTGGTGCGTTGGGCCAGCGAGTGCAGGAGCAGCGAGTTCAAGAGCACCCTGTCGCTGCTGCCGGTGGAGAAGTACAGCCTGGTGTACCAGCAGCTGAAGGACAAGTACAAGGCCATGGTCAAGGTGAAGAGAGAGGTCGCGCTGAGGCTCGTCTGTGGAGTGTTTGCTCTGGAGTTGTTAATGTTTGTGGATGCGTGTTTTCTTATATTCGCTCTCTAGGTTTGGCCTGAGGTGACAGATCCTGAGAAGTTCGTGTACGAGGATGTTGCCATAGCTACATATCTCCTGGTGGGTTCATACCCGAGTGGGTCAGATAAACTTAGAAGATTGATACGTGCTTTAAAAATACTTCTTTTACAATCCATATGTCTCATGTGTCTTTGTGCACGAAGCCTCAGATGAGCATACTTGTTTGTTGTTGGTGAAAATCATTTTTATCTGACACATGTTCTCGGGTCATGCAGCCAGAAGTGGGTCAATCAATTTCAGTGTGAAAAATGGCCCACTGCATCAATCTGTGTGTCATGCCAGAGGCAGGTGAAGGGTGTCAGGAGCGGCAGCTGCAGCAGGTGTCACGCTGCAGTTGTAAATTGGTTTTTACCAAATTGATTGAGAGCCCTCATGAACAGAACTCCGTCTACGTGCAGGTGCTGTGGGCCGAGGAGCGGGAAGAGAAAGATCTCACCGCCCGACAGTCCTTCGTGGACCTCGGCTGTGGAAACGGCCTCCTGGTTCACATCCTGACCTGTGAAGGGGTGAGTAAATCTTGTGAAAAGAATGCGGCCATCTCAGATCACCTCCGAATGTGGCCTGAGTGATCTCACCTCACAACCCAGGATCACCACTCGAGATATGACTCCCAGGCCCAAATTCCCAAAAGCTATAAAGCACCCGAGGGAAAGTAAGGCTAAAAAAGCATAACGTGTATATTGAGTTAAATGTAAATGGTCATCAACCTTGAGATGAATTAGGGACGTGTCTTACAAAACTAAACATGGTCTATTAAACCATAATATCTTCTACATTTGCCTAAACACACAGATTTCAAAAGTCAGATTTGAACTATTCGACCCAAAAAATCAGTGACTACTTTCTACTAGATTTATGCATTTCCCACACGTTGTCTGTTGAATTATAAAAGATTAAGAGACGGATAATAAAGTCCAGATAAATGGGTTGTATAAAAAACTGGCTCCTCAAAGCCAGAGGCCTTTCAATTATCTGTCTCTCCAGCAGCAGCTTAATCAATGACACGGAGCTGGTGGCAGCCCAGGTGAGAGGGATTCATATCTCTTCATACATTACGTCCACATCACCGTGTCCTCTAAATGTCCAGTCTCTAACAAGGACGGGGAGTAATTGAAATTACACA